CACCTCTAGTACGAGCACCTCCTAGACGAGCAGCTCCAGCACCTCCAGTACCTCCAGCTCCAGCGCCTCCAGCACCAGCAATACCTCCAGCACCTCCAATGCCAGCAGCTCCAGTAGCACCTCCAGCACCTCCAGCACCAACAGTACCATCTGCTCCGGCAGCTCCAGCACCTCCAGCACCAGCAGTACCTCCAGTACCTCCACTGCCAGCAACTCCAGTAGCACCTCCAGCACGAACAGCACCACTAGCTTCGGCAGCTCCAGCACCTCCAGTACGAGCACCTCCAAGACCAGCAGCTCCAGCACCTCCAGTACCTCCAGCTCCAGCGCCTCCAGCACCAGCAGCACCTCCAGCACCTCCAGCACCAGCTGTACTTCCAAGACTAGTAGGTCCAGTACCTCTAGCACCAGTAGCACCTCTAGGACTAGTAGCTCCGGCACCTCTAGCACCAGCAGCACCTCTAGTACCTCCAGCACCAGCAGCACCTCCAGCAGTACCTCCAATACCTCCAGCACCACCAGTACCTCCAGGACCAGCAGCTCCAGCACCAGCAAGACTGTACCCTCCACCACCAGGACTGCCTCGCGGAACGATCCACGCACGAATCGCCTGCGGCGAGAGCATCTCAAGTAGGTCAGGCTGTGGTGGGTGTCCAGCTCCAGGACCTCCAGCAAGGTCACCCACAGCTCCACCGCCACTAGGATTCGCAGGACCCCCAGAGTCAGCACCCCCAGTCGCAGCACCCCAAGAACCAGCACCCCGTGTCACAGCACCCCCAGTCGCAGCAACCACAGAACCCTCACCCTCTGTCTCAGCACCCCCAGGCTTAGCACCAGCAGGCTCAGCTCCAGAGTCCACAGCAGCAGGCTGAAGAGGCTGCGAAGACGGCCGAGGCAGAAAACCAGGGGGGGTCTCCAAGCATGGAGAGCGGCGAGTGGCCGCCGTGTCGTCAGTGGCGGGGTCACCCCCCTCGACTGGGCCAGAGGAGTTAGAAGAGATCTCCAAAGGCTCAACCAAGGGGGGTGAGTCTACCTGAGACACACTTGAGGGAGCAGGACCCTGTGGGGGGAGGGGGTCCATTGGGGGGGGGGGGGGGGGGTCTGGTACCAAGAAAAGAGGCGCTAGGGGGACTGGGTGGGACGCGTGCGGGTGTAGCCTGTAGTAATAGACAGACTTGTCAAAGGTGACGTCCTGGGAGGAGAAGACTCGACGCAAGTGCGGGTGGTAAAAGTGCCACGGCAGGGCATCGGTGGGGAAGCCAAGGAAGACACAGCGGAGAGTGCGAGAGGATAGCTTGCTCGCTTTGGCATCGCGAACAAGGGAGAGAGCGCCCCAGACCCGAAACACCGACGCATTGCCAACCTTCCCCGTCCACCGAAGTGTGGGCGAGGTCTCTGGCTCAGAGACACGGGGCCAGAGGTTGAGCTGATGCGTAGCGTATCGGACCGCAAACGGCCACAGAAAATGGGGAGCAGCCGCATGGATCATGGAGGTACGAGCCACCTCCATGATCAAGCCAATGCGACGCTCAGCAATCCCATTTTTCCGAGGAGAGGTCGGAAGCGTGAACTTCTAGACGATGCCCTCATCTCGACAGAACTCCACAAGGAGGTCAGAAGAGAACTCGCCGCCCCTGTCAGAGAGCAGACGTAGGACTGGAAAGTCCTGACTGAACCGCTCGCGCAAATGGCGACGAGTAGCACGGATCCAAGGGATCAAAACACCGCTGACGTCCACCTTGCGCCGCAAGGGGAAGAAAGTGGTGTAACGTGTGTAGTCGTCAACAACCAGCAGGAAGTAGCGCTCCTGGTCCGTTCCACCGACGGGGGCTGGGCCCCAAACGTCCATGTGGAGAGTCTGCAGAGGAGCAGTGGTCGGAGGAAAATCGGAGGAGTGAGGAGCGGCGAGCTGCCGCCCCTCGATGCAGGGAAGGCACAGCTGGGCAAGCGAGCGCGGGAGGGAGGGAAGGGACCTGGGAAGGCCAGAGACAAGGAGACGGGAGTGCATACCGCGGAGACGCAGTAGGGAGGGTGACCGAGGCAGTGGTGCCAGAGGAGAGTCTGGTGGGAGAGTACCCGACATGAGCAATACGCTGCAAGCTGACCAGACGCAGACACCTGACTCGACGCAACCATCTGACCTGCCTCAACCACCTGTGCAGACGCAGTGGTCAGTGTGTACAGACTAGACCCAGGTCGTCGAGTGAACGTAGCCAGGTGACGGCCAGTCCGGGAGCACGTACAGATCGCCACACGCTGCCCTCCAGGAATAAAGGTATCAACCCAGACATCCTGAATGGCAGAGTTGCTCACCAAGTTCGTAGAGAACGTGGGGAGGTGGAGACCTGACAGAGAACCGGAGGGGACTGCTGGACACGGGAGGACAGTGGAGGCTTGTGCGACTACTGGGCCCCCAGTGGGGTCAGCCAGTGAGACCGGTACTGGTGCAGCAAGTGGTGTGAGTGTGGTGCAGTCACGAAAGAAGCAACGTGACGTGCCTGAGTCAAGTGTGAAAGTGTGGAAGGCCTCAGCTGAGGAAGGACCTGTGGCGGGAGACGCACGAGCACCTAAAGCTGCAGCAAACTCACTAGCACCTAGTGCTGCAGCAGACTCACTAGCACCTAGTGCAGCAGCCTTGACAGAACCAGTGACACATCGCTGAGGAAACAACACACTAAGCACCTGAGGGGAAAAGGTCTCCTGCTGACTCTGCTGCCGCCTCTGTGCAATACGTAGAAAACCAAAGCCTCCACCACCTGGACGGGCTCGCTGAAGAACCCACTCGTGAAGCTGCCGAGGGGTGGGGTCGTCCGGGAGAGGCAGTGACCGCCGCTGTCCACCCCTAGCCGCTGCAACTGCCGTGATAGTGGCCATGACAGGCCATGATAGTGGCCATGACAGGCAGTGATGGTCAGTAGTAGGTCCAGCACCTCTGGCACCAGCAGCACCTCCAGCACTCCCAATCGCACCTCCGGTACCAGCAGCACCTCCAGCACTCCCAGTCGCACCTCAAGCACCCCTAGCACCAGCAGCACTCCTAGCACTCCCAGCAGCACCTCCACCAGCAACAGCAGTAGCACGAGCAGCAGCAATAGTGGCAGCAGGGCGGCTCGGTGGGGGTGGTGATCAAGGTAGGGCGGCGCGGCTCGGGCTGGGCAGCGCGGCTCGGCCGGGCAGGGTGCGCCGCGGGCTGCAGGGCAGGGCACGCGGTGGACAGGGCAGCAGGGCGCGTGCTGTGCAGGGCAGCAGGGCGCGAGGTGTGGGGCAGCAGAGCGCGACGCGCTGGCTGCAGTAGGGCGCGACGCACTGGCTGCAGCAGGGCGCGACGCGAGGGGCAGCAGAGCGCGACGCGCTGGCTGCAGTAGGGCGCGACGCGCTGGCTGCAGCAGGGCGCGCCGTGCAGGGCAGCAGAGCGCGACGCACTGGCTGCAGTAGGGCGCGACGCGCTGGCTGCAGTAGGGCGTGACGCGCTGGCTGCAGCAGGGCGCGACGCGCAGGGTGCGACGCGCAGGGCAGCAGGGCGCGACACGCAGGGCAGCAGAGCGCGACGCGCAGGGCAGTAGAGTGCGACGCGCTGGCTGCAGCAGGGCGCGACGCATAGGGCAGCAGGGCGCGACGTGCAGGCTGCAGCAGGGCGTGAGGCACGGAGCAGCAGAGCGCGACGCGCGGGCTGCAGCAGGGCGCGACGTACGGGGGGGGGGGTGGGGGGGGGGGGGGGGGGGGGGGGCAGGCAGTGCGAGTAGCTGCAGAGCAGCGCGACACTGTGCGAGCAGGGCCGGACAGCACAAGGGCGCTTCGGGCAAGAACGAGCAAAACTATCGGTGGGCCCTAAAAACTTAACATGTTTCCTGCTCTGAATACCATGTCAGAATAACAGTGCAGGAATGAATGAACTATGAATGAGTTGGGTACAAGTAGTAACCCTCAAGTGTTGTACCTCTTGTAGGCTAACCCACTATAGCGTAGAGAGAACACAAACATATAGTTTGATATAGTCACCCTATTTGAGGTGGCGAAGTCTAGGTGTTGGTTTGGCAATTGACTGTGCGACACCTCTCGTTTTTTCCTCTGAAGCAATTGCAAGACATTTTGATGGGTAACATGAGACTGACGGGATGCTCGCAAAAATTGCTGGTGTTCTAGCTTTGGCACCGAACCAATTTCCGTGTCGAGATGGTTCGGACACAAAGTGCGATTTATACGGTATTTCCTTCGCTCCCCTCGCCACACCCCTCGTCGTTCTTTACACCTCGCCAACCAATCCTAAACAAGGTCAAGTCATCAACTGCAAAACTATTGATCTACGTGAGACCTTGGTTTAAGCCACGCCCTACAGCATCTGCAGCAATACCCACACCATTAAAGCAAGGGTGCACATTCATGGGGGTGGTTTTTTAGGGCATTGTGAGTGTACACCCTCCGACGCTTGCTGATTCGCTGGCGAACTGGCCTGGGGTACGGAAAGCTGGGGCGAGGAGTTCACCCAAGGCTGCGAAGCCAACCTATTTCGTACGAAGGTTTGCTCGGAGAGAACATGCGGAAAGGGCGGAAATCTAGAAGGGAGCGCAAACGACCAAGCGATAAACCTCGTTGTCACATGTTTCAGTCGCCTCAATCGCCTCAGAAAAACGTCCCGAGAGTAGGCACTCATACCTGAGCACGCCTAGTTGAAGTTATAATTTCTAGACTCCTATAACCATTCCTAAAGCACGCTCGTTCGCGCATTAGAAATTCGGCTGAAGCTTGTTCTTGAACGCGTCGCGGTAAAGCTTCGTATATAAAACGCAGGCACTACGCCGCCAGCAAATGTAGTACTGTCATCTACACAAATTGAAGTAGCCGTTAGTCGCGGCTCGCGACGGAATGGATGTGGTTCCGTCAACCCGAACGGCCTTCTAAGTGACTGCAAGGACCCCAAGGTGACAGAAGCCGAAACACCACGCTAGACTCAAAAGCCAATCCCACATCCGCGAGTGTTTTTCCAAGGGTTTGCAAAGGTCATGGAGGATCGTCTTGTGTTGCAATTACCACCGTCGTTGGCTTCGCGGCTGGACCGGGTGCTGCGAGAAGAGCTCGCCGGCGCCACTGACGTCGCTATGGAGCTCTTATTTCAAGGTAGGTGGGTGGGTGGTAGGAGTATATTCTGGATCTACCTTAATATTGACATGACGAATCAGTCAAGACGAATCTGTCAGGACAAATCCGTCAGGGCGAATACGTCAAGACGAATCCATCAGGGCGAATCCGTCAGGACAAATCTGTCAGGACGAATCCGTGTACGAATCCACGTGGACGAATCCGTCAGGACGAATCCGTCAGGACGGATCCGCCTCTGAATTTGCCCTCCCCTCCTCGCTGCTCGTTTTTCCACTTCCCCCCTCGCCAATCCCCGACCCACCCACCTCTCCACCACACCATCTGTCCGTCGCACTGGCCTGTGTGATGGGCAAAGAGGTTATGGGGAAGGGCTCTTCTAAAAGGCCGACCCTGCCCTACCCTCATTTCATCGTGCCTTCTCTCGTCACGCCTCCCCACCCCTCATCGCGCTGCCCCCCGTCGCACCTCCTCTCCCCTTGTCACGTATGCTCCCCCCACCTCGCGCCTCCCCTCCCCCCAGGTCGCACTTCCCCTTCCCCAAAGGTCGCACTTCCCCTTCCCCCCAGGTCGCACTTCCCCTTCCCCTCGCTTCGCACCTTCTCTTTCCCCCAGGTCGCACCTGTCCTTTCGCCCAGGTCATACCTCCCCTTTCCCCCAGGTCGCACTTCCCCTCCCCCCAGGTCGCACTCCCCGTTCCCCTTCACAGAATATCCCTCTCACTCCCTCACAATGCACTACCCTTCCCTTCCCTTCGCTTCCATTCCCCTCCAATCCCTTCTATTCCCCCCACTTCCCTCTCCTTCCCTTCCCTTCTTTCGTCCTCCCTGCACTTCCCTTCCCCTATCCTCCCTTCCCTTTCCTTCCCTTCTTTTGTCCTCCCTGCACTTCCCTTCCTCTCTCCTCCCTTCCCTTCCCTTCCGTTCCCTTCCATTCCCTTCCATTCGCGTCTATTCACCTCCCTGCCTCCCCTTTTTTCTCCCTGCCTCCCCATCTCTCCTCCCTGCATCACCATGTGAGTGTGCTACCTCCTCTAGTGTCGGGGGCTGTGCAGGACGAAGCTGTGCTTTCTCAAGTTTGGTGGCACGAGGGTGCAGCAGCAGGCGCAAGAGCACATAGAGGAGCTGTGGCACTAAGACGATTGGTGGCACACGGTCTTGTGTGTTGTTATAAGTGAAGGATTGTAGTGGATAGGATAAGTCTGTCAAGTCTGAGAGAAGACAATGAAGTCTTGTAATGACCTTGTCAATAAGTTGAAAGAGAACAAGATGATTAAAGGATAGTGGTACAAATATATAAATAGCAATCCTAGCTAGCCATGTACTCCGAGGGGTACATTCCCTTATTAACTGAATTGCATTGCTACAGTAACCACGACTATTGCTATTCTTGAAAGTTACCGTGTTGCATCGCGTAACTTCCAAGTGCGGTTACTGAGCAGTCAAGGGTCACGACCATTGACTGTCTTCGACTGTTGACCTTGGGGTGACCCTCGACCCTCCGCATGCTCTTTATGAGCCATTGCGATAATGATACAGGCGCGTAGCTTCGTTATGAAGTGACGCGCGAGTGGAGAGCCTTCGGGAATGTTACTGTAACCTTTTAGGTTATTCCAACACTCCCTTTCATTCCTGAAGGCGAGCCACGTGGGATTTCTTCGAGATCCCGCAGAGGTCGGTGCAGTGCTGAAACTTCTGACGTGGCAGCTTTTTGGTCAGGAAGTCTGCTGCCATGTCACCAGTTGGGCAGTATGTGAGTTTGACCTTCCCTTTGTCGATTTCGTCTTTGACGAAGAAGTTACGGAGTGCGATGTGTTTCGTGCGGTTCACGAAGCCGGGCTTGTTCGCGATTTTGATCGCGCTCTGGTTGTCGCAGAGTAACGTGAAGTGCCCGTTCATCGTCAATTTCGCTTTTTGCAGGAGCTCCATCAGCTACAGTCCTTCGCGAATAGCTGCTATGGCGGCGATGAACTCAGCTTCGGCTGACGAAAGGGCGATGAGTTCCTACTTCTGAGAGTTCCAAGAAATGAGCCCAGCATGTTGGAGTTGAAAAATGAATCGTGCGCGAGAGCATCTGATGTCAATTTCTCCTGCGTGGTCTGCGTCGACGTAGCCATGGAGCTGCAGGGTAGCAGTTAGGTTAGCTTCGTAGGTGAGGCCGACATCAGGAGTAGAGACGAAGTATTGAAGTGCTCGGTGTAGATCCAGTAAATTCCCCCCTTCAGGTCGCTTCAGGTACTGTGCGAGCTGGCTTGCGGCGTAGGAGAGATCGGGCCGGCACGTGACGGCAGCGAACAGGAGATACCCCAGCTGCTGTTGATAGAGCCGATGATTGTCGATGGAGAGCGGTGTGGTATCTGGTTCATGATTAGGAGGAGGAGTGCGGTAGGGAGTAGTGAGATTGATCGGCGCGGCAGCGAATTTCTTCGCGAGTGTTTCCGCATACTTGGCGGCGGAAAGGTGAATGGAGGTGGCGGACTGAGTGATGTTGAGGCCCGGGAATTGCATGACGTTGTGGTTGATTGTCACTTCTACCTTCTCTTTGATGTCTGCCTCAAAATGGTTCAGCAGCTCCGTGTCGTCGCCGGTGTAGAGTAGATCCTGTTGTTATGCGGTAGTTGTTTGAATCCGAGCTCCGTGAGGACGGTGTGCAGGTACTGCTGCCACAGTCAGGGCGCCTGTTGAATCCCATAGAGGGATTTCTGAAGAAGGCAGACGGCGCCGTTGCGCTCCTCGAAGGCATGCGGCTGCTCAACGAAGATGATGGCGTCGACGGGAGCGTACAGGAATGCACTGCCGACGTCGATTTGACGGAGTGGCCGCTGTTTGACGGCTGCGATGCAGATGAGGATGCATACCGAGGTGTGTCGTCCGACAGGCGCGTAGGTGAGGTTGAAGTCCACCATGTGAGTTTGCTCGAACGCGCGCACCACCCATCTCTGTCAAACTTGTATATAGCTTACATTGTGTAGGCTGTAGTGGGGTAGCCCATAAGGGGTACAACCCAATTAGGGTTAGTACTTGTACCCAACTCTTTGCTAGTTCATTCATTCTCGTTCGTTATTCTGATATGGTTTCAGAGCAGGTCCCTTCCTAGGACCGTTTTTTTGGGCCCACCACTTGCTGCCCTGCTAGCCTAGGCCCCGGCCCGTAGCCACGCGCCCGTCGCCCCTAGGCCCCGGCCCGTCGCCACCCCTAGCCCGGCCCGTCGCCCCTTGGCGTCGCCCCTAGCCCGCTCCCCCCCCCCCCCCCCCCCCCCCCCCCCCGTCGCTCGTCGCCCCTAGCCTGGCCCCTTTGTCGCCCTAGGCCCGTCGCGACCCCCGTCGCCCTAGGCCCGTCGCGACCCCCGTTGCCAGTCGCCTGTCGCGGCTCCGTCGACCTAGGCCCCCGGCCCCTCGGCCCCGTCGCCCCTGGCCCCTCGGCCCCGTCGCCCTAGGCCCATCGCCCGTCGCGGCCCGTCGCCCGTTGCCCCTCGCCTAGACCTCGGCCCCACGGCCCCTCGCGACACGTCGCCCCGCGGCCCCTCGGACCTCGCCCCTTGGCCCCTACTCTCCTGCCCCCCCGGCCCCGTCGACCTAGGCCCCCGGCCGCTCGGCCCCGTCGCCCCTGGCCCCGCGGCCCCGCCTCCCTAGGCCCGTGGCCCCTCGGCCCCTACTCTCCTGGCCCCGCGGCCCTATCGACCTAGGCCCCCGGCCCCTCGGCCTCGTTGCCCCTGGCCCCGCGGCCCCGTCGCCCTAGGCCCGAGGCCCCTCGGCCCCTACTCTCCTGGCCCTCCGGCCTCGTCGGCCTAGGCCCCTCGGCCCCGTCTCCCCTGGCCCCGCAGCCCATTCGCCCCTAGGCCCCCGGCCCCTCGGCCCCTACTCTCCTGGCCCCGCGGCCCCGTCGACCTAGGTCCCCGGCCCCTCGGCCCCGTCGCCCCTAGCCCCGCGGCCCCGTCGCCCTAGGCCCGAGGCCCCTCGGCCCCTCCTCTCCTGGCCCCGCGGCCCTGTCGACCTAGGCCCCTTGGCCCCGTCTCCCCTGGCCCCACGGCCCATTTGCCCCTAGGCCCTCGGCCCCTCGGCCCCTACTCTCCTGGCCCCGCGGCCCCGTCCACCTTGGCCCCAAGCCCCTCGGCCCCTCGGCCCCCTGGCCCCTCGGCCCCTGGCCCCTAGGCCCCTGGCACCTCGGCCCTTTGGCCCCTAGGCCCCCGGCCCCTCGCCCCCCCCCTCGACCTCGGCCCCTCGGCCCCTAGGCCCCAGGCCCCTCGGCCCCTTGGCCACTACTACTGCTACTGCTGCTACTGCTACTGCTGCTACTGCTGCTACTGCTGCTACTGCTGCTCCTGCATACTGCGCCACTATGGCTTCGCTAAGGGTTCTTGCGTTCGATCATGAGGGCAGACCGGTTCAGTTTGACACGTGGCTCGATGACCTACAGCTGTACCTACTGAGCGATTCTAAGGACAGTGTGTCGCTGTTTGACCTCGCGTCAGGTGCCACTACCGCCCCTCCCGCCACAGCTGACAGTGCGAGTCGCTCACAGTGGCTTACGCACGACGCTGCTGCCCGCTTAGCCATTCGCAACCACCTGCGGTTAGCCGAATGCGCTCACTTCGGACAGCACAGGCCCTGTACGACGCTGTAGTCGCTCGCTACTCCTCGCTTGCCACTGCTACTGCTAGGACGACTGCTACTGCCCTACTTGTTCCTCGAGCTGTCAGCTTTTGCCACAGTAGAGGACCTGGTTTCCCACCTGCGCACTAGCGACGCTCGCTACCGCGCTATCGTCCCTGCTGAGTTCCTTGACCGGAACCAGCCCCCGATGTTCATCACCCTCTACTTCTTAGTCACTCGCCTCCCTGCCTCTCTTCGCTCTGTCAGGGACCACTTTCTCTCCCTTGACCCCACCTCCCTCACTGTTGACCTCCTCGAGCACCATCTCCTCGCAGCTGAGACTAGTGCGGTTGCTGTAGGTGCTGCTCGTGGCACTCCGCGCCCACCCTTCTTTGAGGGGTGCTCCCCCTCCCCCCTTGCCCCCTCCTACGCCTCTGCTGCTGCTGCAGACGTCTCTGTTGCTGAGGACGTTGGGGCTGCTTCTACTAGTGCGAAGCGCCGCAGCAGCAAGGGCAAGGATGGCAGGGGTGGTGGAGGTGGCAGCGGTGGTGGTGGAGGTGGCAGCGGGTGGTGGGTGCAGCAGTGGAGGTAGTGGAGGCAGTGGAGGTGGTGGCGGCGGTGGGACTGGTGGCGGGAGTGGGGGCTCTGGTGGTGGCGGTGGAGGCAGCGGTGGGAGTGGCGGCAGTGGAGGCGGTGGGACTGGAGGCGGTAGGACTGGACCTCGGCATGGAGGCCCTGGTGGTGGCCAGCGGCAGCAGCAGCAGCGTCGGAGCGAGACCCAGTCGCCCCAGCAGCTTCGTGAGTGGTTGTTTCAGCGTGGGACGTCTGGGGGTAGTGATAGCTGCCCGTATGTCATTCCCACGGGTGTTCGTGCTGGTCAGACATGCGGGAAGCTTCACAGTCAGCACCGCTGCTTCTCCCGCCTCGACGACGCTTGGCGTGCTGAGTTTGGTGACGACGTCGAGCTCCCTTGCTGGGCAGATCTACTTCGGTCTAGGGGTGCTATCTTTTTCCTAGACTATGATGCTATTCTTTCTGCTATGTATGCTTTGTCTGTTAGTGCTGAGGGTGACTGTTACCGGTGTGTGCCGCCTGACCCAGGTATAGTTGCTGCTGCTCTAGGTGCTAGTGAGTCTGGTACTCTCCCTGGTGCTGCGCCTACTTAGGCCTTGCATACCTTCACGTTGGACTCAGGCGCCTCGCGCTGTTTCTTTCGTGACAGCACCACTCTCACTCCTCTCCTTGCACCTGTCCCGGTCAGTCTAGCTGACCCCTCTGGGGGCCCGGTCGTTGCCCGTTCCTCCACTGTCCTCTTGTGTCCGGCGGTTTCGTCCGGCTCACTTTTAGGTCTTCACCTCCCCTCGTTCTCTACGAACTTGGTGAGTACCTCTGCCCTCCAAGATGCAATGGTCACTACCACCACTCCTGGGGGTCAGCGTGTGTCGATCTGCACGTGCACACGAACGGGGCGTCACCTGGCCACGTTCACTCGTCGGCCAGGGTCGAGTCTGTACACACTTGCTACCGAGCCTCCTCAGGTAGCTA